AGTTAAAATGTCGGAAAGAAATGCAGGTATTGAATAATGGCCCCATAAACCCATTTTGTTATAGGTTATTCAGTACAAGTCTGTCCTTTTCAAACAAGAAATCCTTTTTCACAACAATCGGTACATGAAGGCAATTGGTGTAGAGTATCGCTTGGCCTTAAGAACTTCAATGTTCATGGACTTTCGGAAAACTGCCCACAAAGAGGGTGAAACTTCAGGCTCATCAGAGTTGATGAAATTAATTAGTAAATGCGAGATGCCATGTTTTAATATACGCTACTACTGCAGTCTCAAAGGAGGCCAGACAAAAGACGACTTAAGACGATTATGCTCAAAAATCAAGGGACTGACTCATTTTCACGCAAAATACGTGCTTGCAATACGACTTGGGATGATAGTGATGACGTGGGAATCAACACGCTGTTGCTCATCACTGAAAGGAGACTTGGATTACTTCCTTGTTTACTCGTTTTAGCCGGTGGGCAATCTCATCTGTGGGTTCGCATCAAGAATACAGGCTCTCCCAGAAAACCTGCATTTACCCTGAGTTGCACACTTTCCTTACCACGTTTACCCCATGTGCAACACAACAAAGTCACCACATTGCTTTGGATTTCTAGGATGCACAATCGTTTTGTGAAACAGACGAATTGGAATCCCATCCATTTAGGTCACTAAAGATTGGATCAAGTAGGGATTAAAATTGAGGGGGAAAATGATGGACCCGCAAATGAAAAGCACCATACCAGAAGAACTAACACATACCCATTCATTAAAGCTCATGCACTTAAATAAGCGCCTCAATTTTGAGGCCCAAAGCATCAAATTACTCCATTACAAACAGAGAGCACTGGTGTCCCCTCCTCCCCCTTCTCTCAGTGCCATAATAATGGCAGCAAAATGTTTAAGAAGAGCCCAATGTGCTGGTAAAACTGCATCTACCTACCGCAATGACGGAAGAGATGCAATAAGGCGGTAAGATGCTCAGAGTCTCTGTTAAAGTGTCCACCGTCGCCTCGTAGACTGCGTAGACCAGACACACAGCTAAAATTTGTAACTCCGAAATCCGCCTCTTTCTTTTTCCTTGATCAACTCCGACACCCGTCGATGCAAGACCTGATGATATTCCTGCAGCCGTCAGGTTGGCATTAACAGAAGGTGATTGTGAAATAGCTTTTGGTCGGATGGCCAGGCCACCCTGTCGACTGTTTGAGCGACTGAGCTTGGGCTGGGACTGTGGCAGCGGTGGAAGACGTCGACGAGACCGGGATGAATCCAAGGCGTTATAGAGGAAGGAGGCAAGTGAATTATCCAGCAGCACTTGAACACGATCTGGACTGGATGAAAGCGGTATTAAGAAGGAAAAAGGTACCTACCAGGCTTTTATGAAACTGAGGAGTACGATAAGACAATTGCGGTAGGATGTGGTGTCTTCCAAGAACAGATGACAGTTTAAAATCTGAAAGGGAATGCGTCGATTTTATTAATGGGAAACAATAGTACGATATCCTCAAAGTCAACCAAACTTCAAAGACTGATTTACTGATACAACTTACAAATCAGCAAACTCTCTAAGGAGCTCCGACATTCCTTTTAAATTGGCATTATGAAGGTTAGATGGCAGACAGAAAGTCATTTCAAGCAGAAATCGAATGAGCCCTTCAACAAAGTATCGACGCCACCCCATTTCAGTCAGCTTTCAATAAAGCAAAAATGTCCTCGAGGTTTCACATCTCCTTCCATTTTACAGCAGGCTGTCAATCTACCATGTGTCATAAAACAGGCGTTTTACGCAATAGCTGAATGTTTATATTAGTGACCGCCAGAATGCAGGTCAGTGGACAACACGTTCAGAATTGTTGTCCTCACAGTGACCGTGATATGTTTACATTACTCAAATGACACATTGCA